AACCCACGGAGCTCTGGAGCACCAGTGACATCCCAAAGGTGGCCCCCTGGACCAGGTCCGGGTCCGGGCTGGTCCTCTAGGGGCCCATACCTGTCGATCCAGCTTGCAGGCTGCCAGGGGTAGAGATTGGCCATCATTTCTTCCTGGACAGCCCTGTTGACTGAGCACAATTCTCCAGCACAGGGACATCCGCAAGCAATCGAGCCTCCGGCAGCTGGGGAATGGGTGGGTGGCCTGGGAGAGGGAACCTGGCCAAGAGAGCAACGGAAGCTACTCCCACCTGCTGTGACAATGTACTGACAAGAAAACACATATAAAAACCTAAACTCCATTCAACTCGATTCATAGGAATCCTACAGAGCAATCCTTCCCCCCCTTTTGTGTGTGCTAGCAACTGATCCGGAAGTGGGAGGGAGGAGGACAGAGGAAGTGATGGCGTAGGAGGCACCGTCTCCCATCTTGGTGTCTCCCTCAGTGACTATCACAGTACTCGACACGTAATGTTTAGGTCCCGTGAAGGCAGCGGTTCTCAAGCTTCCTGATGCCGTGACCCTTTCATACAGTGCCTCATGTGGTGGTGACCCCCAACCATAACCTTATTTTCATTGTTACGTCATCACTGTAATTTTGCTACTGTTATGAATCATAATGTAAATATCTGATATACAGGATGTATTTTCATTGTGACAAATTGAACATCATTAAAGCATAGTGATGAATCACAAAAACAATATGTCATTCTATATTGTGAAATGTTTATTTCTAATGACAAATAAATGAAATTTTGTCTTGAAGCATGGGTAACAATCTTCATGCCCGGTACTTATATGTGGGCTTATCTGCATGTGGGCAGACCGGCCTGGAGACGATAGAGGAGCCGTGCCTCGAGTCCTTAGGCGACCCCTGAGAAAAGGTCGTTCCACCCCCGAAAGGGTCGAGACCCACAGGTTGAGAACCGCTGCATTAAGGATTCAACTTGGTACTCGTGGCAACGTACACCATCCTCATACCCACCAGCATTTCTGAGCCTATTACCATGGCTACGGTGCCAATCCATCAGCCAAGGCTCAAACATGAGACTGAAACTCACTGCCATTGAGCAGATTCAGATGCAACGCGATCTTACCGCATCGAGTAGAACTGCCCCGTGAGTCTCCCAGACTATATTCTCTTCAGGAGTAAAAAGTCTCAACTTTTTCCTCCGAGTGGCTGATAGTTTTAACTGCTGACTTCGTGGTTAGCGGTTCAACCCTTAACAACAGCGCTGGCTGCACTCCATAACCGCCAGCATTTCGGAAACCCTTGTCGTGGCTGTGGTGCTGAACCATCCACCGAGGGTCCCCTGCTCTCGTTGGCCCTCACCAAACATGACGTCCTCCCCTAAGGATTGGTCCCTCCTCAGGAGTGCTCAAAGATAGAGAGTCGCCCAAAGCTCTATTTTGATCTGAAAGTTTCCCTTGCTAATTTTTGGAAGCAGGTGACAAGGCTTTTTCGCCTAGTCGGTCTTCGTCTAGAAGCAACTCTGAAACCTGTCCACCAACAGCCATGCTGCTGGGCCATGGACTGTCAGTGGCAGAGTGTGAGAACAGGTGCTCGTACAGAACCCAAAATGCACCAGTGGGTCCACAAGTAACGGAATGGGTGGGCTAGAGGCCAATGGATAAGGGAGCCAAGGAAGGAGTAAAGCAGACGTGGCTCTCTTGCAGGGCATCCGGAGTGTATGGACTGAGATAGGCCCTTTAGGTGCCACGAAGTCTGAGAAAGAGAGCAACCACGGCCCAAATCTTCCTAGTCCTCAAATGGCTAGAGGAGCGTTTTGGAGAAGAAAGAAGATCCCATTAACTAGCAGCTGTTTTTCAGGCACCAACTGCGTTCTCAGCATCACTGGAGGGTAAAAATACTATGGGAACAGGACCTCATCTCTAAGGTAGATTTTTTTCAAGTCCAAAGCAAGTCATTTATGTGGCCCAGTAACGCAAAGGAATTGTTCCTGGAGGGGAAGAAGCTTCCCAGAGGGCCCTGAAAGATGAGTTTGACCGGAATAAGGAAAGAAGGGCAGTAGGGCATCGCAGGGAAGCCAGGAACACAAAGGTCTGGGGCAGAAGCTGACTGGAGATGGCCAGCAGAGGAGGCATTCCCGGAGGACCACCTGGGCCCTCAGGAGTGACAGTGCATCCTTGTTGCCCAGCCCACAAGAACGGAAGCCCCGTAAAAGTTGGAATGTGATTGGTCTCATTCATCCCTGTATCCCCAATAGCTAGACCAGTGCCAGGAACAAAAAGGTCCTTCATACACGCACAAAGGCTCAGGAACTGCCCATGCCGAGGTGCCGCTGGGTGCCTTCCAGGCGGTTCCAACCCACAAAGACCCTGCTCACAACAGAACATCCTGGTCCCCTGTCCCCTCACACTCTTCGCCATGCCTGAGCCCCTTGTCCCGGCCACTGTGTCACTCTATCTCTCCGAGGGAGGGCCTTCCTCTTTTGTGCTGGCCCCTACTTTGCCAAGCATGAGGCCCTTTTCCCTCCCGATCACACATCCAGAGCACGAGACGGAGCCTGGCCATTCTCTCTTCTAAGGAGCATTCTGGCTGTCCTCCTTGGCCCACCCGCCCCACCGCGCCACACACACACACACACACACACACACACACACAGATCTGTTCACTCAAGGTTCTGACAGTGTATGTGGCACCTCAAAGTGGCACCTTCGCTTTTCCATTTTTTTTTTTTCATTTATTTTTTATTTTATTTATTTTTTTTAAACATTTTATTAGGGGCTCATACAACTGTTATCCCAATCCATACACACATCAATTGTGCAAAGCGTATTTCTACATCATTTCTCAAAACATTTTCTCTCCATTCAAACCCCCGACATTAGGTCCTCATTTTTCCCCTCCCTCCCCGCTCCCCCCTCCCACTCGCTTTTCCATTAAAGAGGTCTTTTGCACAGATTTTTCTTTCTTTCACGGTAACGCATCATTTGCTTTCTTTACGGCTGGTTCCACAAGCACTGGTGACGAGTCTAAGTAAAGCTAAATCCTTTTTTTTTTTTTTAACATTTTATTAGGGGCTCATACAACTCTTATGTAAAGCTAAATCCTTGACAACTTCCATTTTCCTCTGCTTGGCGTGATCTTGCTTACTGGTCCAGGTGTGACGATTTTTGTTTTCTCTACGGTTTGTCACCCAGACTGAGGGTTGAATTCTCCGGATGTCCTGTTTGCTTTCAGCAAGGTGGTGTCAGGAGCATGTTGCAGGCTGTCAATGAGTCTTCCACCAATGCTGATGCTTTTCTTCACACCGTCCTTCTTAGAATACAGATTGAGAAGTATGGTGAAAGGTTACAACGCTTTTCCTGATTTAAAACCACACACTCCTTGTTCGGTTTGAATGACCACCTCTTAGACTATATGCAGGTTCAGCACGAACACGATGAAGGATTCACAAATTCCCTTTCTTGTCAATACTATCCATCATTCGCTATCCAAAATCCACACACTCAAATGTCTTTGCATAGTTAACAAGACACAGTTAAACATCTTTCTGGTATTCTCTGCTTTCAGCCAAGATCCATCTGATATTAGCAACAAATTTTTTATGGGAGTGGGGTCCCCTGCCCACCCTTTTTATCTTCTTCTGAATCCCACTTGAATGCCTGGCAGTTTCCTGAAATTGGCAGTTTCCTGTGAGACAGACTAGCATTAGCCACTGTAGCGCCATCTTGGTAAATGCTGGATGACCTGCCTCCTTCCCCCTCCCATCTCAGAAAGTCCCACTAGTGATTGATTTTAAGAATGTACACATGTTCTCGAGATCAGAACAGTATAATTAATAATATTGTTCCTTTTGATGTTGTAACCAGGATATTACTATTCTTATTTTATTAACCAAGCTGTTATAATCAGTGCCATACCCCGTAACGCTCACTAACTCTGAAGAATAACAACATTAATTTTGCTTTCGGCTTTTGTCTCACCTGCTCACTCTATAGGAAAGTCCATCATAAATGATAAGTGAGTTTTGGGCTTTACAAACTCACGGAAACATCCACTCAGGACTGCAATCAAAGGGTCGCTATTAGATTCTCATGGTCCGCTTAGAACCAAATAAAAGACTCTTCTGAATTTCAAGCATTCTAGTGGCGGTCATGTATTTGAGCCCCAACAACTGAAATACAATGGAGACAGAGAACAATAACCTGTAAGAGTGACGGTTGTGATAGCACACACAGGTGCCAGGTACTAAGAGTTTATGTCATCCTCCAAAGGCCTGAGAACGATACAAACACGATCCTGCTTTACAGATTTGGTAATCAAGGCTTTTTACAAATAAATACACTGGCCTCAAAGTTACCTGCCAGGTAAGAGACAAAACGGACTAGAGCTCATGTGTGCCTAATCCACGTCCATGCTCTGCCTGGAAGGCCTGCTGCTTGGAGAACTTTGTCTGGGAGCTGATGGAAAAGTGCAGCAAAAACCCAAACCAGGCTACTGCAGAAAGTCAGCCTAGGCTAATCGAGTGAACAGAAGTGGAGACAGAGGGAACAGAGGGAAAATATCTCAAATGATGATGATGATGATGATTGTATTTCAAAGGGCTTTGAAATAAAGCTCAGGGTTGGATGACTTACTGAATTGTAGGAGACTTTGCAGTTTGCCACCCGGGAATAGAAGGAATGCTGGTATCCCTGAAAGGAACTAGCTTTTCTTGGTTTTCCTAGTTCTCTCGACATTCTATACAGATGACCCAAATCTCCAGGTTGATTCGTTTCCCAGAGCACGGAACTGAGAAAGAGGGAGCAGTGAGAAAGGGCCTGCAGAGGGCAGAGCAAGAAGGGCGCGGGAGATGCAAGCTGACAAGCTGTCTTTAGAGCTGTGCCCGGATGCAGCCAGGTCGCACTACAAAGGGCCAGACGACGCTTGCCCCGCAGGAACTACAACTCCCACAAGGCCTCTGGCCCAGCCTCCACGTTTCCGGCTAGAGCTCATTTCCGGTCTCTCGGATGCTGACGCTCCTTTCCGGTCTTGGTGGCTGCTGAAAGGTTTTCGGGGTGCGTGTGATGACCTCCTAGACAATGGAGATCCAGGCGAGAGGGGACTGTCTAGTGCTCGTAATTCACCCAACGACTGGGTGCTAGCTTGGGGAGGGGGCGCCCACGGGTGACGTGTAAGCTTACCGGAGGCGAGACAGCCCCCAGGGGCTCTGGGCGGCCAGGGGGAATGGGTCCCTGGAGAAACCGGGCAGTGGGGCCCGGCGAGCGCGGCTGGTCCCCAGTGGAGCGTGGCCGCGGGGACACTGCAGCCCGGGGGACTCGGCTAGGTGAGGCTCACAGTCGGCCGAACGCCGCTATCCGGGGATGGTGGCCCCTCGGAGGACAGCTCGGGCGCATCCCTGCGCCGCCAGCGGAACGGCGGGAGATACCTTGTTGGGCCCTTAGACTGGCTTTGTCCGAGCTGCAGGCCACAGAGGGTGGGGGGCGTCTTGCAGGTGGCTCTGTGGACGGGACGCTTGCAGGTGCTTTCTGTGACCGGCTCAAAGGAGCTCTAGGACATTGATCAGAGGGCGGGCCGGACCACCTGGGGGACCCCCCTCAACTCCCGGACTTGCATTAAGTGCGCACTTTGCTTTTCCCTCCGCAGATGAAGGTGCTGGTCTTTGTGGCGTTGGCGCTGTTGGCTGTCACTCGAGCAGAGGAGGGGGCCAGGCTTTTGGCCTCCAAATCACTGTTGAACAGATATGCTGTGGAGGGCCGAGACCTGACGCTGCAGTACAACATCTATAATGTCGGCTCAAGGTAATGCTACTGGAATTAAGTTCGTGTCTTCTCAAGAGACTTCCTTTTTGGAAGGCAAGGTCTATCACAAGAGATTTTCTTTAGAGCTCCTAGGAGGAAGAAATTGGCACCCAGCTGGTGTGACCCGGTGGAGTTTCCTTGCCCAAAGCATGCATATCCAACTACCTCTTGCATGAGGTTCCCTGGAACTTCCATAGGGGTAGCAACGAGTTTTGGGGAATGTAGTCCCTAGGGCAAGATGTCATGGGCTCCTGCCTAAATCTTGATCTTTGCTCCCCGCTTCTGCCATAGTAAGGACCCGAGGCCCTGGAGCTCCAGGTTGGGCCCTATTCTGGATTCCTAAATTTCTCATCTGGAACAAGGGACATCATGGTGGCTGGTATTTCTTCTGGAGAAACGTCCAGCATCAACTATCTATCATGCAGGAATATAGGACACTTGAAAGGAGAGGACACTTACCCTTTGGGGGCTGGAAGAGCTTCGGCGTCAGGAAGAAATATGAATCATGGCATAACAGGGAGAGAGAGTTTCTAAGACAGAAAATGGACACACTCCTCACTTAACAACACGGCCAGGTAGTCGTGCCGAAGTCAGCGTGATGCTGGATGGAGTCTGCCCACCCTTTTGTTACCTCCAGGGTTTATCGTGTCGGCCTCCTTTCTGTCATGGACCAGGGGGCCTTATTGTTGCCATTCTTCATTTCTCTCCGTTTGGTATTCTCTTCCTCACACATCTTGCTCCTCATACCCCCACCCCCTACACACAGACGAGAGACTTCAGAAAGCTGGTGGGAAAATCAAAATGAAAGATAATAGAATTTTTCAAAAAAGTATATTTGGAAACTGATTGTGGTAGCAATTATACAAGACTGCTTGATGTGATTGAACTGTGGAATGACATATGTATTAACGCCCAATAAAAAAAGAAAAGCTGTAAAGCCTCCTCGTCTGTGAGGCGAAATTGAGGTGAGAACAGGTTTGGGCCGCTTCCTTTCTGGAGACTTGAGCATGTTGGTGGCCTGAGCCACAGCAGCTAGTCCTTGGACAGGATTCTTCTGTGCTCCAAGTCCAAGGTCCTGTGGACCAGGTGTCTGGGCTGCGGGTCTCACTGTGAGGACAGTGGTTCTGACGGTGTTCCCATTGCTGACTAACCCTGCTACTCCCTTTTTTCCTAGTGCTGCGTTGGACGTAGAATTATCGGATGATTCCTTCCCCCCAGAAGACTTTGGCATTGTCTCTGGAATGCTGAATGTCAAATGGGACCGGATTGCCCCGTATCCTCTTGGCACAGGGTGACGGAGGCTGGTGGCAGGGAGGGAAGGTCGCCAGCACGGCAGCAAGGTCTCTCTAAGCAGTCTCACTGTCATGGTCCTTTTGCAGCCGTGTGTCTGGCTTGGAGGAGCCAGAGACGTGGAAGTCAGGTGAGGGAGATCTAGGGGAAACCGGAGGAAGGTGGTCCCTGCAGCCCAGTCTGAGGCTGTGAAGCATACAGTGGGGATGCAGATTCTTGTGAAAATGTTTGTGGCCAAACAGGGATATTAGATGCTTTAAAAAGAAATTCATCTGGATGCTGACTTGGACCTGGTGGTCCTTTATTATCTTTTTTGTTTTTAATTATTCAGAGAAAATCACTTCCACAGAGTCGTTGTGGACTCATAGAGACCCTATAGGACAGGTTAGAACTGCCCTTAAGAGTAACTCTGTATTCACAGAGTTACACACACACAGATTGTAACTCTTTTTAATTGTTTTCGTTTTAAAAAACATTTTATTGAGGGCTCCTACAGCTCTTGTAACAGTCCATACCCAATTGTATCTAGCACATTTATACATATGTTGCCATCATTATTTTCTAGACATTTACTTTCTGTTGAGCCCTTGGTGTCAGCTCCTCTTTTCCCCCTCCCTCTCTCCCCCTCATGGCCCCTTGATAAATTATAAATTATTATGAGACTGTAACTCTTTATGGGAGTAGAAAGCCTCGTCTTTCTCCCATGGAGTGAAGGATGGGTTCAAACTGCTAACCTTGCAGTTAACTGCCCAACTTGTAACCCTACCCAACCAGGGTGCCTTTTTGAATTATTCAAGGAGTCTTCCATTCTGAACTGCCAGTTCCTTATGCATATTTTAAGTAGCTGTATAGTTTTTCCCCTTCTGAATGAAATTCAGTTTTTTGGTGTGCACCCTTTTCTCTTTTGTCTTTGTTTTGTCTTTTTACATTTTCAGTAACTTCCCTCTGTTGTAGCCAATGAAAGCTTTTCTGTCATCTTCAGTGGCAATTACTTTTCATCTGCAAAACACACAGGTTTGAAAATGTACTTCAGAAACCTTGACACTTAGTGTGTCACAGGCCCCTTAACTTAGGGCTAAGATGACATTACAGCAAACCCCAAACTGTCAACTTCCAAGAAGCATAAAGGTCTGTGTTTTTTCCATTCCCGCAGAGGATTGAAAGTACAGAACTACCGTGTATCGGCAGCTGTTCTGTCACGGTCCACAAACTGAAGGCTGTTCTGGAGGGAGGTTATAATCTTAGTTTTTTTATTATTATTATTATTTGGCCCTTTTCCCTTCCTTAACTCTTGGGTAGTGCTAGCAACGTCTCCCACACCGTGGTCCTGCGCCCTCTGAAGGCTGGCTACTTCAATTTCACCTCAGCAACCATCACGTACCTTGCCCAGGAGGAAGGACCTGTTGTGGTGAGTTGCCCAAACTCCCGGCAGAATGGGGCTCAGAACTCCTCAGAGTACCCTGACCCAGCCCAATTTCCGTAGATCTTCCCTTGAAAGCGTACAGAACATTCCTAAAACACCCACAACATTTGTAGAGATCGAAAGGGTTGAACGGAAACTGGGTGAAGAAAGGAAGCGTGGCGTTGCAGCGGAGAGTGCTGTGCTGGGTGAAAGGGGAGTGCCTTGGCCTGCTCCTCTTCCCCTGTCTTCCTCGTAGTCTGGGGGTGTCCCTGCTGCCCGTCTGGAGCATTCCTGTCTTTGTGATGATGAGCCCCAGTCCCTGCGATGAACCCTTGCTTGGGACATTTCTGCCGACACCCTGAGGCTGCCACCTTGTTGAGGCTGCCAGTTTGTTGCACTTTAGTGGCCTGTGTGCTGCTGGAAGCTGGACACTGGTAACTCAAATGCCAGCAGGGTCACCCAAAGTGGACAGGTTTCAGTAGAGTTTCCAGACTAGGAACAGATGACAAAGAAGGAATCGGCTGCCCGCCTTGGAGGAAGTAGCTGCTGAAAACTGCATGCACAGATCAGATTTGGAGCTGATAGGATACGGGAGGGCTAAGGAAGGGAAGCAGAGCATTGCTGGAGAGCATGCTGGAGGGTGGGTGCCTTGGGGCAAAGGGCGCTAGAAATGTGGCTGAGGAGGAGGCGCTGCTTTCTCAGAGAGGCAAAGACCATGGACCATGAATGAGCTAAAACTGGTGATGGTGGACCTTTCGGGATCATCATTTGCTGACCGGACACCATTCAAGGTAAAGAGAAACAGCTGCAAAACTCTAATAATCGGACTTGGAGTGTGCAAAGTATGAATATAGGAAAATTGGAAATTGTCAAAAATGAATTGGAACACATAAAGTTCAATATCCTAGGCATTAGTGACCTAAAGTGGACTGGTATGGGTCATTTTGAATCAGAAAATCATGATTTACTGTGCCGAGAATAACACAAGAGGAATGACATTGTATTCAATGTCAGAAAGGATCTTGCTAAATCCATCGTGAAGTCCATTGCTGTCTGTGATATAATTATATCTATCTGCCTTCAAAGAAATCTAAGTTATACAGCTATTACTCAAATTTCTGCACCAACCACAAAAGCTACTGATGAAGAAATTGAAGAATTCTACTAACAACTTTAGTTGGAAATCCTCCAAATGTGCAATCAAAAGGCATTGATAATTGGAATGCAAAAGTTGGAAACAAGGAACGGTAGTTGGAAAATATGGACTTGTGTCCCCGGCCCGCAGGAACGTCAACACAGACCCTGGAGGAGGGAGTGGGAATTGAGGGGAACAAGAGACCCGAGAAACGGAGACAAGACAGTATTCTGATCAAGTCTCTCTTTATTGAGTGAAAGGTTGCAGCCTCTATAGGCCAGGGGAAGGGAACCACCCATCGCACATGTAAATTAAGCCACTTTGGTAATAGACCAATCAAGGAGTCCGGGGGAGCGCGCCCTCAGTAACGGTTTACAGTCTTCAACCAGGTCCGCGAAGTGACATCATTTTATGCAAATCAGGTGCAGGCACTAGATATGTAAATAGGGTGAAGACAATCTCCTACCCAATCAAGGGGAAGCAGGATATGGGTCCTTTGTCACGCCATGTGTGGAAACCCCCTTATCTGTTTCTAGGCAGACTTGAAGGCTAAACTCAGCCCGTCCCAAGGACAGGCTATTCAGAGGGGAGATAACCTAATCACAAAACTATGTCATGTAGGTGGGAATGGAAAAGTACTGCAAGCTCTGACAAAATATAGTGAAGATTGAGCCCAATGACCCCGGACAGACTTAGTGATAGAAACAAAACTGGAAATCACATGATAGAATTTTGCAATACCAATGACTTGTTCATTGCAACTACCTTTTTTCAACACAAAAGGCAACTATAGACATGGACTTCCTCATATGGATTACACAGAAATCAAGTTGACTACATGTGTGGGACCAGGTGATGGAGAAGCTCAACATCAGCAGCTAAAACCAGGCCAGGGGCTGATGGTGGGATAAACCATCAATTGCTCCCATCGAAGGAAGTTCAGGTTAGAGCTGGAGAAAATCAAAACAAGTCCACAGAGCCAAGATAAAACCTGAAGTATGTATATCCCATCCGAATTTCGAGAACATCTCAAAAACAGATTTGATGCATTAGACACTACTAACAGAAGACCTGAGGAGCTGTGGGGAGACATCAATGAAATCATTCCTGAAGAAAGCAAAGGTCATCAAACAGAGGAGAGAGAAAAAATCAAAGTGGATGTCTGAAGATACTCTGAAAGTTGCCCTTAATCATAGAGTAGCTAATGCAAGTGGCAAAAAGGATGAAGCCAAAGAGCTGACTAGAGACCTTCAAAGGGCAGCTCGAGAAGATAAAGTCAACTATTGTAATGAAATGTGCAAGGACCCAGAGTTAGAAAACCAAAAAGGAAGAAGACATCGGCATATCTTAGATGGAAAGAAATGGAAAAATTTAAGTGTCAAGTTGCAGTCTTCAAAGATTCGATGGGCACAGTGTTGAACAATGCAGGGAGCGTCAAAAGATGAGAAGAATACACAGACAGAACTCATCTACATTCTGTCATGTCAGGAGGAAACATGAGCAAGACCCCATGGTGCTGAAGAAACACAACCACCTTGGTGCTGAGGGAAGAAAAGGACTCCAGGAATTGATGGAATGCCAATGGAAATGTTTCAACAAGGTGACGAAGCTCTGGAAACACGTACTCAGCCATGCCAGGAAATTTGGAAGACCTGGCCAACTAACTGGAGGAGAGATCCATATTTATACCAATTCCAAAGAAAGGTAACCCAACAGAATGTTCAAATTTTAGAACAATATTATTAATACCACGTGCAAGTAAACTTTTGCTGAGGATCATCCAATAATGGTTACAGAAGTGCATTGATAGAGAGTGGCCAAGAGGTTCAGGCTGCATTCAGAAGAGGACATCAGATGGATCTCGGCTGAAAGCAGAGAACACCAGAAAGATGTTTGTGTTTCATTGACTCTGCCGAGGCATTCAGCCGTGTGGATCATAACAAACTGTGCATAGACTTGAAAAAAATGGTGAGGTAGTTAGTCTATTGTGCCAACCTGGCTGATAAACACATGGGGGGTTAATTGAAGGGTGGAGGGATAAATGGCTCAGGGACAGCTATGATCTCAGCAGCCAGGCCCGCACAGAGAGTCTTTACTATCTTGGGATATTTGTAGGTCGCCAGAAGACATGCATATTCAGTAGGTACATATGTCACAAGGTGGGTAGTCACCACAGGAAAGTCCCTGAGCTCACAGGTGAGGAAACCTAATACCTGCGCTGGGGGAAGGCATGAGGGGGGATGCGTGCCGCGGTGGGAGGAAATGACCAGAGAATGTCTGCTTCTTCAGGGAGATAGGATCACCCATGTGCTCACTTTAAGGCAGCAACGCTATTAGGGGAGAATCTGTGGGAGTGATAGTTAAAGTAGGATCGTGTCCTTGGGTTTTATCTCGTAACTTACCAAAGTGGTGGCTTTCCTACCGTGGAATATTGCTAGCTTTCCAGATTCCCTCTGTTGCCAGTTAGGGAGTAGAGTCCCAGTCATATTGCCCTCAGAGTCAGTTTCCCACACAGAGGGTCCCACTGAGACCCCCTGGCCTGAATAGGCCGAGCTCCTGGCCACACTCCTCCTCCTCCCCTCTCAGTGCTCATTCTGTCCTCTGCCTTTCTGCCCTGTTTGAAGCACTCTCTCCTCTTCATTATCCTCAGCTTTCTCAGGGCCCAGCTTCGCACCGCACCTCCTGGTCCTGGCGTCCGCAGACACCCACCGGCTGCATCCGCGCTTCCATAGCACGTACCGTCCGCTCTGTGGCACTTGCACATTGAATGACTTGCTGCCTTCCGGGGTCTTCCTTCTCAGATGTCAGTCTTCACCCCAGTCCAGTTAGCAGTTGCTCGAGGCCCGGACTTTGGCTGAGCTTTCCCCGTGTCTGCATCTATCAGAGCCGTTCAGTAGAGAGCGCGTCTCCTGGTTCATCGCTGTAAAGGTCAGCAGATGTTTCCTGAGCCCATGTAGCGTGCTCAACTCTGGGGGAGCCTGAAGCGATGAAGAAGACCCTCCAAAAGCTTAGGGCTTGGGTTTATAAAGGCCCCGGGAGGACCGAGCAAATGAGCTTTGGGCTGGCACAGCAGGAAGGGCCTTGACAGGCACAGAACAGAGAAATCTAAGCGTCACTAGCAGTTCACACCATTTCTAAGTTTTTAATGGAAACAACATTACGTTATCTTTCATCATTTATTAAGGATCATATAGAACCCTAAACTCATCTTCCAGCTATGTTTCCCCATCTTGTGTTGATGTTACCGTCGGAAGCAGTCTCGGGGTCCTCTCAGGGTAGCTGGTGCCTGATGAGTTAACAGACACGAGTCAGAGGCGAAGTGGCCGCCCTAGAACGAAGCTGTCTGCTGTGTGCTCCAGACTCCCGGCCTCCTGTCCAGGACCGAGGCATGTGGGCCAGCTTCTGACCCTCCTCGCCTCCTGCCCACGCGGGGAGGGCTGCAGACTTCTCAGAACCCTTCTCAGGGCTTCATTTCTGCCCCCTCTCAGCCCCGGGAGGGGCTGGAGGAGACTGTGTGCACCAGATGGAGGAGCAGGGCTGCCGGGCCGCCCGTCCAGTCTGCAAGTGGCCTGTGAGGACAGCGGGGGAGCCATGTCACCCTCTTCAGAGTGGCTAAGGGGGAAGGACTTGACTCTGTTCCAGCTCCATCCCTGCCCTGCCCTGTCATGAATGCTCCTCATGTGGAATGGTACTCCTCCTTTCCTCCATCTGTACCTCCTTCCAGCATGTCTGCTTCCCACCTTGACGCTCTCGACGCTTAGTTCCTGTGGGAACTAAGGATCCATGCTTGGAATTATGTTGGCTGGCGGAGACACCTTTCCTGAATGAGAAGAGGTTGCATCTTGCCTTAATGCCCTTTTTTTTTTTTTCTTCCCCCTTTTCAGATTGGCTTTACCAGTGCCCCCGGGCAGGGAGGCATCCTGGCCCAGCGAGAGTTTGACCGGAGATTCTCACCGCACTTTGTAAGTTTTGCAATGTCCTCCCCTAATCTTCCCCAGGTCTGAGAACACCTTTTGGGTTCTGGGACCTCCTGGCCTCCTTGCAGGATTTGTACCTTGGGCCGGCCCTGTCTGGGTCTGTGTTTCTGGATGTATTACAAAGACAGCTGGAAAAGCCCCACAGGAACTCTGAGCTGTGAGATCATAATTTCCATAACTGAAACACTGGCCTTTCTTTCTACTCGGCCCTTGGATCTGTCTTGAGGTTTAAAAAAACCACATGGCAAAATTCAAAGGGCTTTGGAACAGTCAACTCACTGCCATCGAGTTGATGCCGACAGGGTAGTTCAGCGTAGCATAGAACTGCCCCTGGAGTTTCCGAGGCTGTTAACTCTTTACAGGAGTAGAAAGCCTATCTTTCTGCCAGGGAGCGGCTGGTAGCTTCGAACTGGTGACGTTGTAGTTAACAGCCCAACTCATAACCACTGTGCCAACTAGGACTACTCTGTTATGATCTAAACTAGGAGGGAATTTGTAGAGATTTTCCTAACCTCTAGAATGATGAGATTGGTCTGTTCCTTCAGTGAAACTCTGAAGTCCTTGCCATTAAAAGGTCCCATGGTGGCGTATTGGGTTATACACAGGGCTGGTGCCTACAAGGCCAGCAGTTCGAAACCACCAGCTGCTTTGTGGGAGAAAGATAAGGCTTCTTACTCCCATAAAGAGTGAACAGTCTCAGGAGAAGCACTAGATGCCCAGCCAGGAGTCGCTGAAGCTGAGTCTTGATGTTTTGGATCGAGGGCCTTACACCCTGAGGAAATAGAAGATGCTCAAGGTCATGATCTCCATACGGAGCCTCCTTATCTATATGGCCCTGCTGCGGAGTCACTCCATTGATCTGAAAGAAATGGGGTGGCATCTGAAGATGTGGCATCGCATGTGAGTGCATGATATTAAGAGCCTGGTTCCGGTCCCTCCCATCTGCAGTGAATAGACTCGGAAGGGTACACTGTCCGCTTTGATTGAACGGACCGCAACGTTCTGCTTGTTAAGAACAAGTTGTTCTTTTCTGGTGATTGATTGACTATATAAAATTAATTGGGAAATATGAAAAGTTTTCTTGTGGTCAGATGGCACCCTTTTGCCTCTGATACTCCGCTTCCATGAATGCTGATCTCATTGTAAATGATGTCCAGCTTCAGTTTCCAGCAAGTATTCATCGCCGGTGTCTGAAATAGTTATCTTGGCCACCATCTCTGTGGACCTTTTTATCTCAGTCCAGAATGCAGTTGTGAAGAGTCCCTGCCAATTAATTCCATTCTGTGGAAGTCAGCACAGAACCACAATGATATTTGAGCACAAAACCATTAGTCTGTGTTTTCGTAAATGTATCAGTTTGGGGAGAATTACAGTCTCAGAAACCCACAGGGGCAGTTCTACTTTGTTCTGTAAAGTCGCTGTGGGTCAGAATCACCTCGATGACAGTGAAATTCGTCCTCAGAGCACCTCTCTATGGCCAGTAGAGGAGTCAGAACAGGTAACGGGGTTGGGTTGTTGCATTAGTCTGGGTACTTTAGAGAAACAAATCCACAGAAACTCATGTAAAAGAGAGAGTTTTATATAAAGGTTAACTGTGCATCAAGAAAACATTCCAACCCAGTGCTGCCCAAGCCCACAAGTCCAATATTCACCCATTAAGCCATATGTCCAACACCAGTCCACAAAGTCCTCCTCCATCTCACAAAGCAGACGCAATGATGCCGACTGCAGTGAACGTGTAAACATGTCAGCGCTGGGCAGGGGTCTCCACACGGGTGCTCCAGCACCCAGGGCTGCATCGGGGTAGGTCCATGTGGCTTCTCCTTGGGGATATCTTGCAGGAAATCAGCCTTGCAAGCTGAATCAGGGAGCTGCTAAGACAGCTGCACCCTGGTGCGACCATCACAAAGCAAGAGACCCGAGAACTCGAAAGGCGAGGCTCACCCAGCCATTTATCTCTCCACCGGCCAGGTTGGCACAGTAAACTAAGTAACTCAGTTGTGTATGAGGCGCTAAGGAGCACAGAGCAGGTCCATCTCACCTGGGCTTTAGTAGTTGCGGAGGCCTTCTGGTAGGAGGTCAGTGTTCACCAGTTAAAGAGGCTGGAGGAAGGGCAGGCATTGTAAGAAGAGGAAGAAGCTCCGAGGTGAACAGAAAGCATGGTGCAGCCCAGGCACGGTTAGGGGCGGTAGCGGGAGGCAGAGGAAGAGTGGAAAGAGGGGCCCCTGGTGTAAGCGTGGGTTAGAGCTCAGGGCACCATCAGGGGCAGAGTGGCTGGTTTGGAAGAGAGAAGCTTCTCTTCCCATCTGCATTAGTCCCAAGCACGAGTGATAGAAGGGTCTTTAGAGAACTACTCTAGTCAGTGTGGTCGGAGAGTGTAGTATGAGGTGGGGGAGCCAGCCCCCACCACTAACCAGGGGTTCAGTAAGCACAATTGTACTGTTGAGATGTATATATATTAAACTTATCGAGAGCATGAGAGATAAAAGAGATATTGCAATAATGGGGTCAGACACATTTCATGGTAGCATGCTCACCTCAGCCCCGCTTGATGGTCCACTGGAGAGAGGGGGAGGGGAAGGAGGGCAAGGGAACAAGGGAGCAAGGAGAGGAGAGTGAGGGGGAGAGACCAGTGAGAGCCGCCTCTATTGCTAACCAAGGCTTATATCCCTTTTGGGGGTGTGCAAGCCCACTAATTACAGGTAAAGACATATGTCACAGGAAGGGGTTGCACTATAGGTTATACAGCAATGAGGGGGTGGTCTAGGGGCATACACGCAATAGGAAGAGGAGGGATAGGGGGTATACTTGTGACAAGATGGTCGGATCCTAGATTTAGGATGGCAGTTCAACTGAGCTGGTATGACCTGTTCTCTGGATGCCATAGGAACCATTATCAGTAGGGTGTGAACTCCACCTACAAGAACCAAGCTAATGGTTGCAAGCCTGTCCATTGTCCTTAACAGCAGAGAGAGGGGCCCACGGCAGTCTGGCAACTGATCACCCTCAGGGAGGATGCCTGCACGCATCTGAGCTCCCCCCACAGGAGAGGACCCTTCCTGCCCAATTCTGTGTGAAGCCGGCACTGGACAGCCCCCTCCCTCACCAGACCCATTCCTCCCCAGTTCTCTGATCCAGACTTCTCAGCAAGGCCTTTATTTTTCCCTGCAGCTGGACTGGGCAGCCTTTGGGGTCATGACCCTTCCCTCCATCGGCATCCCCCTGCTGCTGTGGTACTCCAGCAAGAGGAAATACGACACCCCCAAGACCAAGAAGAACTGAGAGGGGCTTCCACACCCCTCTTCCCAAGAAATCCAGGTGCTTTCCAGACTCCAGATGCAAGGTCTCCTCCCTCAGCCGTGGGCCACCTCCTCCTGGCTCCCTTGGCTGGCTCTCACCCAGAGGGAAGGAGCAGGCCTGGGGACTGAGCGCCACTGGTTCCATCCTGAAGCCATTCAACAGGAATGCCATTGGCAACACCCTTGACCCCAGAGGTCCTGGGAGAGGCTGTGAGATGGACTGGTTGGCAAGGTGAACTCTCAGGGGCCCAGGAGGGAGCCCTTCAGAAACTGCCTGACACCCACTGGCCGGCCCCTCAGCCCTTCACCCCCTCTCGGAGGGGGGTGGGATGAAATGAAAGCTACGGGACTGGGTTAGGGAAGCAACTACCAAATGGGGTTTTCTAATAAAAAAAAAAAACAGATGCCACACTGACTTGTGTTTCTTCCCCACCCCCGTCACCTAATGGGTACAAGGGACTGTTGGAGCGCAGGCTGGGGCAGGGGAGGCTTGAGTCCCTGTCGCCCTTCTAGGGGCCCCGGGTCCTATTCCGGGGCTTTGAACAGGTTCAGCCCACTTCAGTCAAGGCTGACAGACCCACATTTTGAAAGTGTGAGTGAACTAGTCCCCTGCTAGAAACTTCCTCTTCGTGGAAAACCAGGGCAGCATACATGTTACATAGCAACCAAATCACGTGACTGGCGGAGTCAAAGTCAACCTTGCCAGGCGAACCGATGTGTGTCTGCAGTCCAGTGTCGCCATCAGGCTTTGGCCAGGGTTCATTACACCTCTTCACAGGGCATTGACTCATTTTTACAGTTCTGGTTAGCATTCTGGATCACCCAGATCTAAATTTTTAATATTCTGGGCCTGTACATGGGTTGTTTCGTCAGGAACCAGTTTGATGCTCTGTTCGGTTCCCAGAAAGGTAGCCACCCCCTTTTTTAACTGCCTTGGTTTGGACCCTTGCTCGAACCTCTCGTTCCCTTCAATGAACAGGTCTTCCCTCGACCTCCCTTCCCTCGCCACTGCCAGAGAAGTGCCGGTGTGAAGTCTGGTCTATTTGCTGACTGTCCGTGGGGAACTCTCAAGCCGGATTCTGGCTTTTGGGGAGCCAGGCAGAGGAGGCGCCCTCCGCGTGGCCTGTGCAGAAAGGAGTCCCTGGCGCCTTCGGCTTTTGCTGCAGCAGCAACTGGGGACAACCCAGGAATGCCGTGGTCCGGGGACAGCCTCCCCGGCGGGAGGAAAACCCAACAAACACCGGCTTTGTTCCGGCCACCATGCTATCCAGTTTAGACTCCGCTCCCCCGTCTCCCCTGCCTGACCGGTTTAACCTTTCCCTCCGCAGCAGCTCACTCTCAGCGCCATGAAAAGGACTTGGAGACAGCGGGAAGCTCCCAATGGAGTAGCCCTCCGCCAGCTCGCCTCCCTCTTCCAGGGCCTGCAGCTCGGACACCCCAGGACTGGCCAGGTCAGAGGGCAAGGAGGATGCTTTTATTCATTGTGTTGGTGGAGGATGGAGTAGAATGCCACACAGTGAGTCCAAGCTTGGCGTGGAGGACGGGCGCAGAGAAGGCACAGGGAGCTAGCTGGACAGGGCGTGGATGGGCTTTCCAACCCAGACCGTCCATTGCTGACAAGTCCATCCTGACCCTTAGTGATGCTGTCAGACAGCGTAGGGCTGTCCCATCGGGCACCCAAGGCCATAATCTTTTCGCCTGCAGAGCCACTCGTGGATTTGAACTGCTGACCTTGGGATCAGCAGTTACAGGTTGAACCACTGCACCACCAGGGCTCCCGGCTTGTTCGCTAGGACTTTGAAATACTGGTCCTTTAGAAGAGGAAACGCCTTCTCTCCCAGCTCTGGAGCCTGCGACACAACCAGTTAACTAAAGGAGGAGGGGTGCTGGTTTAGGGGACAGGATAAACTTTCTAAGTCCAGAAGGTAATAGAAGAAACAGCGAGCTCAGTCTGCCCCCTGGCCAGGGGACCCTTTCCCAGCAGCTGCGGGTAGATCTGTACTGCACAGAGCACAGCGCTGTGTCACCTGACACTCCTTTGGACGAGGCTGTAAGGGGGAGGCGGACATGACCTGACACGGATGATGAAAGAAGCAATGTGAAAAACCCCTGCGTATGTGTTGATGGTGACTCACACCATCCGCTGTCCATCTGGACGGGGGACTGCACAGCGTTCTCCAGCTTCAACCCACTGACCTTTCCCGCCGCACCACCGCACCTCATGCAAACTCAAACTCGCCGCTAGGGAGTTGATGCCGACTCATAGTGACCCTATAGGACAGAGTAGAATTGCCCCTGTCCGTTTCTGAGGCTGTATACTGTGTATGGGAATAGAAAGCCAAGCCTCGCTCCCGAGAAGTGGCTGGTGGTTTCAAACTGCTGACTTTACAGATCGCAGCCCAGTGTGTAACTAACCACGATGCCACCAGGGCCCCTAGGCTGTGTTAAAACTCAAAACTCACTGCCGTCAAGTTGACGTTAAACTCACAGTGACCCTACAGGACAGGGTAGAACCGCCCCTGTGAGTTTCCAAGATTGTGAGACTGTGTACGGAAGTTGGAAAGCCTCACCTTTCTCCCCATCAGAGGTCGGTGGTTGCAAACTGGTGAACTTGCAGATTGCAAGGCAGAGTGCAATCACCACACCAGGTTCTCAACCTGGGGGTCGCAACCCCTTTGGGGATCGAACAACCCTTTTTCAGGGGTCGCCCGATTCATAACAGTAGCAAAATTACAGCGATGAAGTAGTAACAAAAATAATGTGATGGTTGGGGTCACCACCACATGAGGAACTGTATGAAAGGGTGGCAGTGTGAGGAAGGTTGAGAACCCCTGCTCTACACCATCAGGGCTCCCCCAAAGGCACTTTGAAAAAGTCAGAGTCATGGGGAGAGGGCGGGGGAGGAAAATGAGGAGCTGATTCCAGGAGCCCAAGCGGAAAGCGAGTTTTGAGAATGATGATGTGCTTTACACAATTGATGTATGTGTGGATAGTGATACAGGTTGTATAAGCCCCAATAAAATCATTAAAAAGAATAAGTATTAGAGATGACCTTTCAATTAACATTCTAAGCAGGAAAAATAACATGTAAGCACCCTAAAGTATAGCAAGGGTCAGAGCAATACCCTAAAGACAAATTTTGATTAAGCCAAATGCAGTAATTTTTTTTGAGAGACATTTCCAGAAAAAGTTGTAAATTCCCATTTTAAAGTAGTTCAGTAAAACAAATCCATGGGGAAAAAAAGAAGAAAGAAAAAGTCAGAATCAGGTGTCTCATCTCTCGAGAGATCAGCTTCCTAGGAGTGTCCCTTCAATTGTGGGATGGAGGCCAAAACCCAAACCACTGCCATGGAGTCCATGCCAACCCACAGCAGCCCTACAGACAGGGTAGAACTGCCCCCGTGGGTTTCTGAGACTATCCGTTTTTATGGGAGTAGAAAGCCTTATCTTTCTCCCATGGAGCTGTTGGTAATTTTGAACTGCTAACCTTGCGGTTGATAGCTCAAAGCATAACCATTATGACACCAGGGCTCCTTGGAGAATATAAGAGCCTCTAAAATCTATAGACGGGGAGACTTAGCTGGAATAATTGGGGTTGACCTCTCCTAGCTCCCTGAGGCTATTTACTGGGAGGGTGGGTGGCAGAGGGAGGGCACTTCTTTACGCTAACGAGAGCCGTCCTAGGGAACCACACGCAGGCCTGTGTGCTGGTCTGCAAGGGGAGATGGGACACCAATGCTGAGGGGCTCTTCCCTAAAGGGCCGTGCACACACAACTCAGGTGCCAACATGCTCTATATTCCCTCCTCCCCCAGAAACCAGCCCTCCTGCCTCCCACACCCAAACTTGCAGCCGGCATCTCCTCACCCACACACCCAGCCCGGTACCAGGAGGCACCAGGTACCTGGACATCCACCACTTGATACTAGCCTTTGGGACCTTACCAGAAGAGAAAAGTAAGAAGTGGGTGTACGCATTTGGTGAAATGACAGGCAGAAGTCACGGCTTCATCTTGAGAAGGCAGCTGTGGGCCACGGAAAGGGCGCTGACCACAGAGGTCGGAGAGGGGCACAGGGTCTGAAACACTCCCCTGCTCTGAAGCCATGTCCTCAACTGGACAACGATGACGTTTATTTAACTCAAACTCACTGCCATGGAGTTGATGCCAATTCACCGTGAGCCTATGGGACGGAGTAGAACTGCCCTGCGGGTTCCTGAGACTAAATCTTTACAGAAGTAGAAGCCGTGACTGTCTCCCAGGGAGCAGCTGGTGGCTTTGAACTGCCGACCTTTCTGATTGCAGCCCAACTGTAACCACTACATCATCAGGGCGTAGTGATATAATTAGAGGGCGTTATAGCAGTAAGGTGAGGCTATGTTCCTCTTTTGTTTTTTTTCCCCCCATGAACAATTTCCATTTTATTTCCTTTCAGGTTCGTTTGTCTTCCGCTTCTAATCTTTACATAGGCTTTGGAGGAGGTCGTGGGGCAGCACCTGCAGGTCTAAATCGAGGTGGGGGGTTCGGTCCTTGCGGGCTTCACGCGACCGGTTCCTGACCACCATGCTGTGAATGACACAGCTCACACCTCATGCAGCTTCAGGTACTGCTTGGGAAGCACGTAGGTGTCGAAGACACTCGCTTCAGAAAGGTCTCTGACGGCCGCGGCCTCCGCTATGTTCCTTATGACGAACTTCTTGATGGCCTTGTCCTTGGGCTCGCAGCGGGCGCAGTTCGTGCCGCGAGTGGGCTGCCCATGGCCGCGGCCTTTCTTGGCGCGGCCGTTGTTTCGCCTTTTCTTTGTCATCTCGGAAGCGAGGATGCGAGAAGAGGCTATGTTCTTATGAGATAAGACAACCAGCACCTCTACCTCATGTGGTTGAGGGCCCCGAGAGGTAGGAGTGGGCATCTAGTCACATCTGGAAGCAGCTCCCCTCTTCCTCTCACCCAGAATGCACTTTTTAAAAATTAAATCATTTTATTAGGGGCTCATACAACTCATCACAATCCGTACATATGTCATTTGTGTCCAGCACATGAGTACATATGTTGACTTCAACATTCTCACAACACCCGCTTTCCACTTGAGCCCTTGGTGTCAGCTCATTTCCCCTCCCTCCCCACTCCCCCATCCCCAGAATGCACTTTAAGAGTAAGGATAGACCTTTATTGTTAGCTGCTCTAAAGTCAGCCCCTGACTCGATGTGATACCACCCCTCCACCACCGCCACCACCACCACCACCCCCCCCCACCGCTACCACCGCCACCACCCCTGCAGCCACACCATTACCACCACCGCCACCACCACCCCTGCAGCCACACCATTACCACCACCACCACCACCACCACCCCTGCAGGCAGCAGCAGCAGCAGTGTCACCACCACCGCCCCCAGCTGGAGCAGAGATTGCCTAGTATAACCCTCTTGTTTAATAAAGCAGGTCAGCTCAGGAGGGAAGGGGCTGATCTGACGTCACACAGCCTGGGCCAGCCGCGCTGCTCCACTCTTTTCACACATCTCAGCAGCAGGCACTTGAGGGTCAGTATGAACACCTCCATTTGACACGTGAAAAAATTTGAAGCTAATTGATTACAATCTCCTGTTGCCTTGGGATAGGCAGAACAGCCTAAGGCCTTCTGATATGTTGTCACCAGGAAACCACAGGGCTCCCCAGCACCCTCCTCTCTGACACCCTGGTGCCTCAGTGAGGCCAGTGTTTGCCGAAGCTGTCCTCTGCCCCCAGAGAAGCAGTGAGGCGAGCCAGGGCTCCCCAGCCCTCCTACACCCAGAGCAGTTATGGGGGAGAGGTGGGGAGCTGGCCGAATGTCTGGCAGCTTGGTCTCCATAACAAGCCGGGAGGGTGTGTGTCTGCTGAGTTGCTTGGTCACCCCTGTTCCTGTTGACTAAGGCTCTGTCCTCCTGTGCCGCCCCTGTTCGCTCCTCCTGGTACTTTAACCACCAAAAACACAAGATCTTGCCTCCTCCCTGTGCAGCTGCAACCTGCCCCTTAAAGGGACCAACCAACAGTTTTGTATTCCAGTGTGAAAGAGGAGGAAGGATCTCCCTGCCCAGAGGACGGCCTCGCTATAGGCTCCCCGCTATGGGCCTTCTTCCCATGCCTGCTCTTCTCCTCTCCCGTCCCGCGTCAGTGGGTCCCCACTGGAAGGAAGGTGGCGTTTCCCCCAGGATGTCAGGCGCCCACAAACTCTCCCTCCAGGCTGGCTCCAGCCGACTTCCTGTGCCTGCCTCCACACCGGCCTGGATCCTGTGGCTGCCCTTTGTTCCGGGAGTGGTCCGGATGGGGGGGCACCCAGGCGTGCCCCCACCCACCCGTGGCTGGTGTTGCAGGGACAGGGTTAAAGGCCTGGGCATAGCACACGCTGGGGTGTTAGAAGTAGGAGGCGGGGAGGGGAGGGAGGGAGGAGCTGGAGAGGCAGCCGGTAGGAATGGAGCAAGTGGCCCCTTCTCAGCAAACTTTTGTAGCATGAGCAGGTCCCCTTTAAGGGCCAGGAGAGGCGCCCCCATTGAAGACCGGGCTGAAGAGGTACAGGGGCCACCTGAAGCAGTACTGAAGCCAGCAACTGAGGGCAGGCGCAGGTCTCCCCACTTTGGGGTACCTTCCAGATCTGGTGAGTCTCCCTCTTCCCTGCCCTGGGTTCAGGTCCTACCCCAAGAATGGACATCTTCAGCACCCCCAGGATGGCAGAAACCTTGATAGCTCCTCAACAGCTGCCAGCAGTGAGCGCCCATGGTCAGCTAGGCGGTGTGTGTGTGTGTGTGTGTGTGTGTGTGTGTGTGTGCGCGCAAGTGTGTAATTAGGGAATCACAATCATGCCAACTGCTCGTGAACACTAACTTGTAAAGCAACTAAACCTTTTACGCACATTCTTTCCCACACGGCATAATTTATGGAGTCTATATGCCACAACCCCTATAGTACAGAGAAGGTTCAGAGGATCCACTTCATTGAACTACCCCACATAATGAGGAGGTAAATGGTATGGCTGGGCTTCGGACTCAAGTTCATTTAATGCCAAAGCCCATCATATTAGCTTTTGGTCTTTTCTCTCTTTATTTATTTGGGAGGCATAAGCAAGAAGAAGGGTTGCACTGGGATTTTCCTTAAGGCCAGGGTCCTAATTCACCCAGGGCCCCTTCCTCTTGTAGCTAATATTGTTCCCTTCATCCTTGGGTGTGGACTGGGCATTCTGAAGGGCCAACAACTCACTCTGGAGAGCCAGAGCCTTCCAGAGTCTAGAGAACTCCACCCATCAGTCGGGCTCCCTGCCCCAGCACTGCTCCCTGTGGACCTATGGGTTAATTCCCCAGGTCACGGTGACTAAAGTCTTCTCAGGTGTGCCCCTTGAACCTCAGGTTCTTTCTAATCACCCCCTCCCCTGTTGGCACAACACCCAGGATGACCGCCCTGAGACCAGCAGATAATAGGAGAGGACTAGACGCCCCTTTCTCCTCCGACCCCCACAAGCCAGCCTAGCTGGAGTCCAGGCCCCTGGTAGCATACAGCAATTGGGCACAGCAGAAAGCACAAGGGCTGAACTCCTGGATTTGATTTCCAAACCTGTTATAACTAATAAGTTCATTAAATGGTCACACTTGGAAATCCAAAGCTGGCAAAATTCCTGATTTGAGAGCTTAGTCTACCAGGGGGTAATTCAGAGTGGGGGTTCGTCATGTCTGCCTTCCTCTTGACTGTAGAATGGGGTGTGGCTTGATTCGGGGCATGGGGAGACCAGACTTCTGTCCAGCAAACAACTTCAGAATGAAGTACTGACAACACAGGTGACTCTGGCCTAAGGGCCCCGGGAAGCCTCAGCAGTCCCCCAGAATCTGATCTGGGCAGATGGCATTTGCCCACATGAGGAGGCTTCAAAAAGATGGTGGAAAAATAGAATGCAAACACAATGGAACGTCCCCCACGTGACTTTTGGAGCCCCTCGTACTAGTAGGGGGGTAAGAGGTGCTACCACACCCCCCTCCTCCGTCCGTACGCAGACCCTTCTGAGTCCCCTTCTCTGTGCTCATGGGCGCTCGATGAATGAAGGCGCCCTGTGTACCCCTTTGCCTTCGGGCCCTGTGGTCCTCTCCAGCCATTTTCAGGAAGTCAGAGGAAGTGTGATCTCTGGAGCCCCTGGCAGACACGGAGCCCTCCATGTGGGCAAGTCGGACCGAGGGGCAAGGCAGGAGGTCTTAGAGGCCAGAGCGCTAGCCCCTGCCATGGCTTGGGGTCTTGGGGAGAACTGTGGTTACTGGGGCCTTCTTCAGAGGAGGACAAGGGAAGCCCTGCTTTGGCCCTCTTTGCTGGGCACTGTTGGATTAATGGTTTACTCTACAAGTGAAGAGGCCGTAGGTTCTATGACCTGTCCTGCCTGGGCCAGGAGAATGGGGGAGAAGCCAGCAAGTCATGACATCTGACCTCTCTCTGCCTCCTCAGTCTTTACGATCTGTTTCCTTTGGGTCTCCCCAATAATTAGTCCTCTTGGGGAGATTTAGGACCCCAGAGCCAGAGCCAGCAGCCTCCCAGGCTGCAAAAGAAGCCAGCCAGCTTTGCCTCTGGTCTGCAGCACCTGTTTGTTCCTACCCGCAATGTTTGCTGGCAGCAAACACACCTAGAGCCGTGCCAGCTCTCTTGGCCTCGTTCAGGTTCCTAAGATAAGAGAGGGAGTGGTGGTGTGTGACCTGTGTGGATTCTGACTCAGAGACCCTGCAAGACAGCAGAATGGCCCCGTCGTATTTCCTAAGCTACATGCGGTGAGTGAAAGCCACCAGCCTCCGGTTGGCAACTCGGCGTTTACACATAGCGGCAGCAGGGCTGCTTACAGAGAGTCAGAAACAAAACTCCTCTCCGTCCAGTCGATGCCGACTCCCAGGGACCCTGCAGGACCGAGCAGAACGGCCCGTGTGGGTTTCTGAGACGGTACCTCTCCACGGGAGTGGAGCGTCTGCTCCTGACAGAGCCAGTACCCCCATGGAGGCCATCAATCTGACACACGGAACCGTCTGCGCCCTCATGCAACTGAGCTCCCCACGGTTTTCCATGGCTGGTTCGTTCAGGAGTAGACGGCATGGCATTTGCACCAGCCAGGGGCGAGTCCAATTTCATTGGAACCCGCGTCCACCCCCTTTTGGAAGCAGGGGAGGGGGAGTGGGGAGTGGCTGATGAAAAGCAATGTTGCCAGGTGTCTTGGAGCTTGTTTCCCGGGCTAGGAGAGGAGTCAGGCTGCAACGTGCAATGGGTCTGCTTTGGGAACTCAGCGGCCTCCACTGAGCTGTGCAGCAGTGGGCAGGTGACTTAACCTCCCTCTGCGGCTGTTTCTTCCTATGGAGAATGGGGATACTGAGGTCTGGGTCAAGAAACGGCTGAGAGCTGCCCGGGATCATGTAGGCCAGCGGTTCTCCACCTTCCTGATGCCGCCACCCTTTCATACCGTTCCTTGTGTGTGGGGGTGACCCCCCCCAACCATCACATTATTTCCGTTGCTATTTCATCACTGTCATTTTGTGACTGGTACGGATCTGGCGACCCCTGTGAAAGGGTCGTTCGACCCCGCGCTCCTTATGCGTTCGTTCGCTCTCTCCCCCCTGGGGGGATTAGCCTCCGAGGCAAGCAGTGCTGCTGCTGTCCTTCCATCACACCTGCACCGGCTTGTGGTAAATAAGGCAGGTGTGACTGTGTCTCTACAATCAGTGGGCGACTGCAGGCCAGGCCTCTCAGCAATCCACCCATCTGAGTCCCCTTAGGGTGCTTTCTGAACAAGTTTCAAAGCATACAGTGGCTTCCAAGGGGATCTGCTGGGCCCGCTCAATCCAAGGCGGAAATGTCGGCTCACAATGTCAGATATGGTGACTGTTTTTTTTTTTTTTTTTTTGGGGGGGGTGTCAAAGGGATAACCCGGTAGGTTTTCGTGAAGGATGCGGGACCATCGGGGGCATATTAGGAAGAAGTTTAAAGGCAATCGAAAGTTGCGTTGGTGAGACAAGGGCCAGGGAGGCTTTGGTGCGGGATTTCTCACATCAGGAGAGTGCGCCTGCTCTTTCTTTCAGGGGAGCCAGGGCTGTCCCAGGTGGGTTTTGTGGGGAAGCCTTACCCCATCCACCCTCCGGCCCTCCAGGCTTCCTTTTGCTCCCAAACGCGGAGAATGTTGAAAAGTAATGTGAGGGGAGCCCCTCGAGGATGCCGAAACGAGCGTGTGAAGCCGCGTCCATCGGGGAACGCAGGTTTCCTTAGGGAAGAGTCTGCCATGGAGACACCCCCTCCTGCAGACCCAGCAGGAGGCGACATAGCCAAGCGATGATGACTTCACACTTTGATACTCCTGTTTGACACAGGCGTCTCTGGTGTTATAGCACAGCGTTCTGACTTGCCTTCCAATTTAGGACATGGGCCTGCTGGTGTCTTCGACGTCCACTCCGCCTCTAGAGGCCTGGTCGGTGTGCAGCGAGCGAGGCCCCATGGCCCTCTCTGGGATGCTTGCTTTTCTCCTTCCTTCATGCGCTTTTGAGCCTGCTCTCCATCAGGTGTCTGCAAACTGCTCTGGGAAGCCTGCTAGCAAAGATTGTAGCTTCCTCGGCCATCCAGTCTCTGTGGCAACTATTCAAGTTTGCTGTTGCAGCTCTACAAGAGGCTGGCAATATGAAAATAAGCGGGGGTGGCGGTGCTCCAAAACAACTTTATGGACACTAGCACTTGAATTGCATGTAAGTTTTTGTGTGTCACAAAATCATCATCTTCTCCTCCTCCTCCTCCTCTTCCTCCTCCTCTTTTCTTCTTCTTCTTTTTTCTCCAACAATTAAAAAAAAAAAGGTAGCAGGACAAGCTGGGCCCGTGGGCTGCCGTTTGCCAGTCCCTGCTGTGCACCAGCACAAGTCCTATCCCTCCTTTCTCCCGGAAAGAGGAGCCCTGTGGAGCAGTGGTCACCGTCAGGCTGCTAACCACACAGTCAGCAGTTCAAAACCACCAGCTGCTCTGTAAGAGAAAGGAGAGGCTTTCTGCTCCCGTAAAGAGCTGCAGTCTCGGCAACCCGCAGGGGTAGTTCCGCCCTGCCCTGTGGGGTCGCCATGAGTCGCTGGCACTGAGTTTGGGCTTCTCTTGGGGAAGGACAGCTTCGTGAGGTCTCATCAGGGTCCCTGACCGTGGAAAAGCTGCTTCCTGCTGCTCCTGCTTGCTCTGGCTCTGCTCGTGGGCGGTGGTTTCCCTCAGAGGGCTGTTGATGATCCTCAGTCCTCGCCCCAGTTGTGTTGGGGCCCTGCTGGCTCAGCAGTTAGGGCACCCAGCTGCCTACCAAAAGTCTGCAGTGAGCACCTCCCTCTGAGGGCCGGAGGGAGATGGGGCCATCTGTTTCCATAGAGAGTTCAGCCTTGGAGACCCTGCGGGCAGTTCTACTCGGTGGTACAGGGCCACTGGGAACGGAATGGACCCGGTAGCGGTGGATTTGGTTTTGGGTTGTCTTGTTAGCCCATGGGCTGATTTTTCATTCTCTCTCTCGTAAGACACCAGGAGCTCTGGTGTCGTCTTGTTGGCCAGCTGCGCGGCTAACGCAAGGTCAGCAGTGTTTCTGAACCCACCAGGCTCTCTTCTACCCGTCAACAGCTACAGCCTTGGAAACTCACA